TCCCTCTCCTGTCCTCTGAACCCAGCCCAGAGCCCCCTCCTGCACCCCAATCCCCTGCCCTAGTCCTGATCCCCTTCCCACTCTCCAAACTCCTTGGCCCCAGCCCAGAACACCCTGCTGTACCCATCCCCTCATCGCCAGCCCCTCTCTCAGGCCATGTCTGCTCCAGGGAGGGAGGGAGGCTTCGTTCGCTGGCTGCCTTCACCCAGGCTGAGTTCCCTGTGCTGCGTGTGTTGCAATCTGCCTGTCACTCCCCGGCTCCGTTCCCTGGGGCTGGCGTCCTAGAGGTGCAGCGAATGCGAGTGCCGGTCTCCTTGCTCCGCAGGGCGCTCGAGGACTTCCTGGGATCAGTGGCAACAAGGTGAGCTGTGGCTGCCCGGAAAGGCAGGGAGGAGGCAAGCCCCAGGAGGGGCGGGAGTTGCAGTCCAGACGGCTGGAAGCTGGGCCTGACCCCACCCAGCATCCCCACCCGCTTAGGGTGGCCAGATGACTGGGTTTTTACTGGAAAGTCCAGTTGAAAGGGGCCCTGTACAGTGCCCGGTCAGATGTACTGAGCCCCGGTCAAATGTACTGAGCGTGCACCAAAAGTCCAGGTACCAGGCCCAGGAGGGGCGGGAGTTGCAGTCCAGACGGCTGGAAGCTGGGCCTGACCCCACCCAGCATCCCCACCCGCTTAGGGTGGCCAGATGACTGGGTTTTTACTGGAAAGTCCAGTTGAAAGGGGCCCTGTACAGTGCCCGGTCAGATGTACTGAGCCCCGGTCAAATGTACTGAGCGTGCACCAAAAGTCCAGGTACCAGGTACCGCAGAGGGGGTGGGGAGAAGAGCCAGGAGCCAGGTCATCAGCCCATGCCAGCCCCCCTGCTCAGCCGAGGCCTCCTCCTGCCTGCATCTCCTGGGCAGCAGGCTCCATGTCAGGGGGCTGCAGCCCCTGTCCCAACCCTAGAGCAGAGGGAGCCCATCACATGGGTGTGGAAGGGAAGTGGGAAGGATCAAGCAGCAAGGAAGGGAGAAGTGACAGGCCTCGGGGAGAGGGAGAGGCGGAGCATGGGGCGGGGCCTCAGGTCATTGGGCGGGGCCTCAGGTGGAGGAAGCCTCAGGTGGAGGGAGAGGCGGGGCCGCCAGAGGATTTTCTGTGCGTTGGATTTATGCGGGGCTAACTGGCCAAGAGCCCAGGTTCACAACTGCGTTAACACCCTCTCCAATGTTGCCCTTTTAAATCGTGGGCCCCTCCAGGCGGGGGCTGTGATTTGTCACCTGTCTATGAGGCAGTCTCAGGACCTGGGAATGGTTGGGGCCCAGCCGTTACCGTGACGGTCTCTAGAGTGCAAGGGACTGACCCCATTCCCATTCCCTTCCCACCGGAGGCGACGGAAAAACGCCCGTCAGTTTCAGGGGGCTTTGCCTCAGGGCCTGGCGTTGTGGGGAGGAAAGTGCAGCTGTGTCTTTGAAGCAACCCCACCTGTTCCTTTCCGTTGTGCAGGGGGAGATCGGCTTCGGCGGCGCAGGTCCCAGAGGGCCCCGCGGGCTGCCCGGGCCCAGGGTAGGTCGTTGCCTCACCACCCCAGATGGGTTTTCTCGTCTCAGTGTCCACGCTGAACACGTGAACGTGCCACAATCGCTCACCTCAGAAGCCCCCGCAGGCCCTGATCCCGAATATCTAGGAATTTTTACCAAGACCAAATCTGGCCACGCTGAGAGGCTGCTTTCTGCTTTCCACCCCAGAGCCCATAGGAGTCTGGCATGAGGCAAATGCTCCCTCCTGCCATTACCGATCTGCCCCACGGTGATGCTTTCTTGGTGCAAATGAGGCCTCACTGGAATGATGCTGGCTGGTTGGGGCTTTGAGCCACCCAGCCGTGTCCTGTGCAGTTCCTCACGGGTGCAAGTAACACCTCAGTAAGCCCTGGTCTACACTAGGGAGTTACTTCAAAGTAACAAGCAAAGTGTCTCCCACCACAACGGGGTGGATTTGAACCTGGGACCTCTGGAGCTTAGTATAGGAGGGTGGATTTGAACTTGGGATCTCTGGAGCTTAGTGTAGGAGTCTCTACCGCCTGAGCTAAAAGCCAGCTTGCTCTCAGCCCTGGCTGTAGAGGTCTCTGTGGGCTGAGTGCCACTGCATGGGACAGTGAACCACGCTAAGGCTACATCTAGACTGCAGAGCTTTTGCACAAAAACGGCGCAAAAACTCGCAGAGGCTGTGTCTAGACTGGCCAGTTTTTCCGGAAAATCAGCCACTTTTCCGGAAAAACTTGCCAGCTGTCTACACTGGCCGCTTGAATTTCTGCAAAAGCCCTGACTTCCTACTGTAAGAAATCAGTGCTTCTTGCGGAAATACTATGCTGCTCCCGTTCAGGCAAAAGTCCCTTTTGCGAAAGGGCCAGTGTAGACAGCTCAGATTTGTTTTCCGCAAAAAAGCCCCGATGGCGAAAATGGCGATCGGGGCTTTTATGCGGAAAAGCGCGTCTAGATTGGCACGGATGCTTTTCCACAAAAAGTGCTTTTGCAGAAAAGCGTCCGTGCCAATCTAGACGCTCTGTTCCGAAAATGCTTTTAACGGAAAACTTTTCTGTTAAAAGCATTTCCGGAAAATCATGCCAGTCTAGACACAGCCCAAGTGCGTTTTTGTGCAAGAAAATTTACAGTAAATCAGAAGAAGAGCAGGGTTTTTGCACAATACTTTCTACGAGGAATAAGCCTTTTTGCGCAAAAGCTCTTGTGCAAAAAAGTGTGTGGGGATGGGAAACAGGGTTTTTGGGGGCAAAAACAGCCTATAGAATGAAACACAGGTGTCCTGGCGGCCTATTCTGTGAATGGCAATCAGAGCTTTCTTGCGAGCGCATGTCCATGCAGTCTGGACGCTCTCTTGTGCAAAAGTACATCGCTTTTCCGACGCGCTTTTGCAGTGTGGATGCGCTCTTATGCAAGATCTTTTCCGCAAAAAGTTTCTTGCGCGAGAAGCCTGCAGTCTAAACGTAGCCTAGGTGTGTGGGTTACACGTCCGTATGATCAAGTCTGTTGTTTCGAAATAATAACTCCTGCTTTCCTCGGGGAATAGCGCTTATTTCGAAATCGTTATTCTGAACTAGCAGCCATGTGAACGCTCCAGCACTGCTATTTCAAAATAACGACTCCCCAGAGTCATTCAAAGTAATTACTCCCCAGTGCTTCTTGGGGCTCTAAGTCCAAGGTAGCGACTTGTTTAGCATATTGAGTAGCGTGTCCATAATAATGGAGCCTGCCTCAGACTAATTTCGAGGCTCCCCCATAGTGGGGACAGGCTATTTCGATTTTGTGATTATTATTTTGAATGTAATTATAATGCAGCTGGAGCGATATAGGTTGGGCGTAGACCTTGGGCCCAGTCTTAGCTTGCTAGCCCAGGCCTCACTGCTAACATGCCCCATGCTAGCTGGGTTCCAGCGACTCAGGTAGCTCCCTTGCCCTCTGTGAGTTTACTCCCCGTCTACACTGCCATAAACATAGAACCATAGAGCTGGAAGAGACCTCAGAAGGTCATCAAGTCCAGCCCCCTGCTCTAGGCAGGACCAATCCCAACTAAATCAACCCGGCCAGGGCTTTGTCAAGCCGAGACTTAAACACCTCTAGGGATGGAAACTTCACTACCTCCCTAGGTAACCCATTCCAGTGCTTCACCACCCTCCTAGGGAAATAGTTTTTCCTAATATCCACCCTGGCCCTCTCCCACCACAACTTGAGACCATTGCTCCTTGTTCTGCCATGTGTCACTACTGAGAACAGCCTCTCTCCAGCCTCTTTGGAACCTCCCTTCAGGAAGTTGAAGTTGAACATGTGGCTGGCCAGCCTGGCCTCCCAGCTTGTTCTGTTCATTTAACATTAATTCAGACGAAATGAAGCAGGAATTCCCCTCTGCCCCGGCATAAAAGGCAGGGAAAGTTTTAACACATGCACAGACATGTCCGTAAAGGGCTGATCATCAAAGGGCCCGATCCTGGCTAGGGGCCTGAGGGTGCTACTGTGGTCTAAACAATGACCGATAAAAATAAATATCTTATTCGTCAATGTGACTAGCGAGAGCTGAGTTGCTTACGCTGAATAAACCTCCCTCTCCCAAAGTGCAGCCCTGGGGCAGGCCGCCAATCGGCACAGTAGCGCTGGTGCTATGTTTAGGGTGGGGGTGCCAAGCTGTACCCCCACCACTCACCGCCCCAGGGTGGGGTCACACCTAGAATTGGTAACTCGCCCAGGCCAGACAGACTGGACGCCATTGACTCTAATGGCTCCTGCTCCGTCCGGTCCAGAGAGTTGGCAACCCAGTCGTAGCTGGGGGTGGCTGCAGAGCCCTGGGCCAGCAGCAGGACCCGGAGCGGCAGCACAGCCTCCAGGGGTGGTGGCCTGGATCCCACAGGCAGCAGGACCTCACAGGCAGCTGGGGCTGGTGGGACCCCAGAGGGGCTTCCTGGAGGCCAGGACATGGGGCTGGTGGAGTCGTAGCAGGGCTGGCCCCTGGGCATGGGAAAGAAACCAGGTGGAAAACCTGGGGGTGCGGTAGCACCCCTACTTCCCGCACCTGTAAATCCTCGTGCGTAGAGCAAAGCAGGCTGCTGTATACGCTGCTTCCTCTGCACTTTCTATGAATAAACTGACTGTCAAGCGAGACGTTTATATGACCCCACCGGCTGCCAGGAGAGCAGTGCAAACAGGCCCCTGGCAAACGCTGCTGGCTGAGACCGGCAGCCGCTGGGTAAGGCCTAGTGTAAATCTCGCCACGGGTTGTGGGGCGGGGGGACGAGGCCAGGCAGCAGTGAGGAGCTAATTCTGCTTTGAAGGCTCCTGTGTAAATCTGGAGTGAGTCACTGGCTTCTTTGGCCTGGTGTGGGGTTTACACCAGCGTCACCGAGGGGAAAACCCGGTCTGAGGGGCTGTGCCGAGGTCCGTGTGACGCTCCGGCGCTTGCTGTCAGACAGATCTTCCCGGACTTGGCTTGTGAGACCAAGGTACTCGATGAATCAGTCGGCAGGGCTACGGCGCTCAGGAAGGTTTAAGAAGGGCGCAAACATGACCAGTAGGCGCTCTGAGCAGGCGAGAGACATGGGGCCTGGGTTATAGATAGGTAGCAGCACGTGGGGGACTTTCATATGAAGGCTACAGTTACACAAATTGGTTCAAGGGTGAGAAAAGGTGACAGGCAAACCGTCCTCCCAATAGACGTAGAGGGGACAGAGCCGTGAGGTGCATTCCAGGCCAATTCTGCGCTGCCTTTTTCACAGGGCTTGGTCTCCCTGAAATTCATGCCACAGAGCATGGCCCTCAGCTTGTCCCCAGAACAACTTGAGAGAAAAGCATCTGACCCTTCCTTGAAACCCCACGAGTTGAGATTGCTTCTCCCTGTCCCCTTTACTCTCCCCAGGCAGGCGCTGTCTGGCCTCCCTTTCCCTATTCACCCACCACCCCCAGGTGGTGACAAACACACTGTGATTTTTGAAGCTCTCCACTTCCAGCAGGGGAGCTGGGTGCTAAAGAAGAGGCCGACGTTGGAGGGTCCAATCCTGCAGGCCCAGAGCCTCCAAGGTATTTAGGCGCCGAAGGACAGTGAGAGTTTGGCGCCTACATACCTTGGAGGATTTGGGCCTCTGTTGCTCGCAAGGCGCAGGGTGTCCGTGCGTCCGCGTGTATAGACACAGTCATGACACGACATCTCTTTGCTGACAGGGGGAGGAGGGCATCGCAGGCATCCGGGGCCCCCCCGGCATGATGGTAAGCCAATCAGAACAAAAGAAGGGATGTCGTGGGTCAGACCAGGGGTCCCTCTCGCCCGAGATCCCGTCTTCCCACCGGGCCGGTGCCACAGCTAGCGAGTGATCCGTCCCCTGAAGCGCATGAAGATGGGTTGGGGGCACAAGGCCCAAGGCGAGCTGGCGAGATGCCCCAGATGTTGATGCCGCTATAGGATGAGGTTTCCATAGCGATGGGCACCCAGTTCCTCCAATGCTAGTGGGAGTTGCGTGAGCAGGTCCCACAGGTGGAGTGGAAACCCCGAGCCACATGACCCAGCCCCCAAGGCGCTCAAATCCCGTATCGGTATCTCAGGTGCATAGATCGCTGTGCCCCATGCATCTGAGGAGGTAGGTGAGAGTCCTTTGGGGGATCCAGCCAAGTGCCGCGATGGGGGGCCCGAATCTCCCTTCCCCTGACATTTGACAGCAGCGCCGTCCTACCGAGTCTCCCCCACGTAGGCAGACCCAGGTGCACGCATTCTGTCCCTAGAACGATCGCTGCTCGTGCTGACGGGCTCTTTCCTGTGTTTGCAGGGTGCGAAAGGCCTGCCCGGCGTGAAAGGCGAACGAGTAAGCAGCGGGCGGCTCAGCTGGGACTTTGCGCAGCGGCTTGGAGGGTCACCTCAGCCGGGCAGACCCCCAGCGGACGCCACGTTCTCCAGCGCCCTGCGCTGGACACGGTTACTCATGACAATAGCCCCGTTTCAGCCAGGCTCCAGCCAGACGATTTTCACTCTCCCTTTGCTCTGGCTTCTGGGCTTAGATTCTTGGGGGAGAACTGTGGGAGCTCCCCAGGCTAAAACATTGCTGTCTAACGCAAACAAGAATAAAAGCAGGGTCAGACCACACACACCTTCATCTGGTCATTGTGTGGTGCAGATGGGGGGCGCCCCCTAGGTGCGAGATGAGGCTAATCACTCTCCGTTGCCTCATGGCGCTGCTGACAACGGTGAAACCGGCGGGTGTTTGTACAGCGCTTTGAGAACGGAAGGTGGTATTCAGGGGCAAAGAATTGAGTGAATTACTCCTCTTGCCCGGCACTGAGGAATCCCAGGACTCTGCATTTTGTGGGATTCTCAGTGCCTGTTTACAGACCTACGGTGAGACAGACACCCCCATATTGCATTCAGAATCCCAGCGAAACCCCAAACACAAAGGAGAGTGTTGTATAGCAAAGAGGCTTGACCAAGGGATTGTGCATCAGTGTTTGTGGGTTTAGTTCTTGCTGTTCTGCAAGTCACCTAAGTCCTCTGGGCCTCAGTTTCCCCAGCTATAAAATTGGGATAGTGATACTTAAGTTACGTACGACTTTGCGAGATGAAAAATCTCAGAGGAGGAACCGTGTTAATCTGTAACTTTAAACACAAGGAGTGGTCCTGTGGCACCTGAGAGACTAACCAAGATATATAGAATCATGAGCTTTGGTGGGCAAAACCCACTTCCTCAGATGAGTTGGAGTGGAAATAATAAAAACCAAAAGAGAGAGAGAACAACAAAAATAATAAAAACCAAAAGAGAGAGAGAGAGAACAGCAACTGTACCTGTCAATTGTAGGACCCATGTTAATGAAGCTAATAAAACGGGCTTAGATGTGTCCATGCATAGCTTTTGATGTGGAAATGCAGGTGTTAATGGCAGGAGAAATTGGCTTTGTAATGTGCCTACCAGTTAATGTCTTTGTTTAAGCCCAGGGTAACTATGTCAAATCTATAGATAAATTCGAGTTCTTCAGACTTTCTCTGTAATTGGTTAGTGAAATTTCTTTATAAAGGAATGGCTACTTTTAAATCCATGATTGAGTGACTAGGTACTTCTTCTGCTGTTATATAGATCTCTTGGTTTCTGTTATTTCCACTCCAATTCATCTGAGGAAATGGATTTTGCCCACGAAAGCTCATGATTCTATATATTCTGGTTAGTCTCTAAGAGGCCACAAGACTACTCATTTTTGTGTGTGATGAGTTAGGGTATGTCTACACTACAGCATTATTTTGAAATATCTAATTTCAAAATAGTTATTTCGAAATATCTTATTTCGAAATAACGTGTCTACACACAAAATGTATTTCAAAATACCTTTTTGCTATTTCGAAATAGCGCGTCTACACTGTTTGGATGCTGAATCGCATTTAAGGCCAGATGGAACTGGTTCTGGCAGGCCATCAGGTCAGAAGTTACCTTGTGGCCAGGGCGGTCAGCAGGGCACCCTGGGAAGGGCTGGAGGCCCCCTATTTCGAAATAAGCATCTACACAGCGCTTATTTCAAAATAGCAATTTCGAAATTGGCGCTCTGCCTCGTGGAATGAGGTTTACCAATTTCGAAATAAGCCCTCCGCTATTTTGAATTCACTTTGAAATAGCAGTTGGCTTGTGTAGACGCTAGTAAATTTACTTCGAAATAACGGCTGTTATTTCAAAATAACTTTGCTGTGTAGACATACCCTCAAAGTGATTGAAGATACTCCGCTGAATTGTACTCTGTGAGCATAGGTTGTTCTAGTCACGTATAAGAGCAGTTTATTAACAGATCAGTATGTTGAGTAATGTGCCAATAGTAGAGAAAAAAGCCATTTATTCTCCTTTTTATTCCAGGGTGATCGTGGCCTTCTAGGACTCAAAGGAGAAAGAGTAAGGGACATAAAAACAGTTGATTCTCTGGGGGAGATGGGATATAAGCAGTTGGAAGGGTTTTTAGGGGGGGCTCGTTGGCAGCTAGAGACTTCTCTGAATGTCGTCAATGAGTGAACAAATTAGAGACATACGTGAAAAAAAAAATTTCTTACCAAGTAGAAGCATGAGCAGAGTAATCACTGAGCAGAGGGGCACCTAATCTGAAGCAAGTTCTGGACTTTGAGTCTGAGCTACTTTGTGAGCATGGGCCTTTTGCCCCAAAAGACCTGGGTTCAAATCCTGCCTTGGTTCACAGCTGGAAAGCATAGTTTTAGTGGACACAAGTTTGTCACTAGTAAACTTCTGTCTTTCTTTATCAAGGATCCTCTGTTTAGGGGAGCCCAGTTCTCTAGATTAGATATGAGGTTGTCAGAGCTGTATGAAAAAGTCTCAACCATTTTCTGCTAGTCCTGTGACTGTCTGGAGTCAGTATTATGAGATCTTGCTTACATGAGAATGCAGAAGGAATCCTTCACACACTGCAAAAATGCAGCCACCTCTGAGGTAGAACATGGCAGCTGATTAATGATGCCCAACTTCATAATAGTTTAGGACAGGAAGTGAAAAATATATCTGGTTTCAGTTTGCACAGCACATCCCAAAACATGTTACAATCTTAAAATTCATGAGATTGATTATATCAAGTAGCATTAACCCAATACCAAGAAGAGATCTGAAAAGTGCCCCGTTGCTTTGGTCCAGAAAGTACTGAATCTTGTCAAGTTTCCTGTTAACTTTCCTACTGGGTGAAATGGCTAGTCAGTAAAGGAGGTTTAGAAAACCTACATGGAAATTCTACTGTTGAGTCAAACGGTATTAAATGATTCAGGCTGATATGTGTCTGAAGAAACTACTTTCAAAGGCGCCCTGCTCTAGTGACAAATCAATTCTTAATCTCTTTCTTGAAGGAACCTGAAAATACTTCCCAGCCTGAAGGAATGTGTAATGCCTTCCCCAAAGGGGGCCTGAATAAAGTATAAGGAGGCGTGCGAGATAAAACAGGAAGGGGGAGATAATTGGGCTGCACTTCTTCCAACTTACAGCTTCCAAACTTTCTAGAACCTGCTTCACCAACCCAGGAGGAACCGTGTGCACCTCTCTCTGTCACGGAGGAACTGAGACTGGATGAGCGGAGGGTCTCTTCTAGCCTTGAAATCTCTCAATCCCAGTCCAGTCTGCTTTTGCACCCTTCAAGACCAGGAAAGAGGAAGAGTGTCTCAAACTGAAAGGGAAGATGACGATGATGAATTTATTATTTGTACTGCAGCAGCACCCAGGCCATGTCCACACTAGGAACTATTTCAAAATTAGTAAATTTGATTTAATAACCCCCGATTTAACAAATTCAAACTAGCGTGTCCACACTACGGGGAAGCCTCGAAATCAGTCCAAGGCAAGCTCCGTTATTGTGGATGCACTACCTCGACTTAGAGCCCCGGGAAGTGCTGGGAGTACTTTGTTCGAATGGGAAGAAATGTTTTGGAATAGCAACACCGAAGCATCCACCCCACCATTATTTTGAAATAACTACTTTGGAATGAGCGTTACTCCTGATGAAAAGCAGGAGTACAGCTTTCGAATTCAGCAGCCTGTTATTTGGAAATAACAGGCTTGGTCATGTGGATGCTCCGCTTCTAAATTCGACCTAAAGGGGGGTTGTTTCGAATGCAGACCAGGGCTCAGAGATCTCAATTAAGATCAAGGCCTCTTTGTGTTGGGTGCTGTGCAAATGGCGAACGATCTCCAGAGAAGGCTAACAAAAAGGATGGAGGGGATACGTTTACCTCTGAAGAAAGACTATGAGATTTAAATATGCAGTGGCGGCTGCTACAGATCGTAGTTAATTAGCGAACAAAGACTGCGTTTGGTGCCCGCTAAAGCTGCATCAAGACAGGGCCCATCAGCCGCAAGCCTGAGAACATGGAAATAAGAGTGTGTATGTGTCCCTTTCTGGTGTCGCCTTGCCTACTACCCTGTGGAAAACACTCTGCTGCGCTCCAGACAGGTTCTGCTTTCCTCTCCCATAGATACGGACGTCAGTATATACCCAGCGTCGCAATGCAAAACCTCCTAGCACTCCCTCAAGTTTGTATGTCAAGAGACAGCACATCTGACTGTCCCATAGGCCAGGCCTTTGGGAAGTTAGTCGCCCTTAATGCTGCTGTTGTCACCATTCAGTTTAGGGGCTTAACTCGATGTTTGGAAAGCTCCCACTACTACAGTTCAGCCCCCCAGAGTCGGGAAGTTTTTGGGGTGTCAGCACGACTGAAACACGTTCCCTGCAAACGTCAAAGGGCTCCTCCCCTAAAAGCGTTCACACTGGCTCTGCATTTTAGCTCATGTCTGAACCACACTCTGAGGTTTGCCCATCATCCATTGCTGCTTCTCTATCCCCTGACCCCTTCAGCTGCCAACCTTTCCCTGGCCCCCGTCTCTCCAAGGAAGCCACAGTCTTGTGCGCGGCGCTGGGAACCGCTGCTCCAGGAACTCCTGTATTCTAATCCAAGCTCTGCCAAGAATCTTGCAGTAAAGGGCAGGGTGCGCCTCCCTGAGGGCTAGGCTGGGAATTAGCTTTGGCCTGTTCCAGCGCCCTGAGGTCGGTTACGTGCACTGCGCTTCCTCCCTCTCTTCGTGACTCAGGGTATATCTACACTGCAGAGTTCTTCGGAAAAACAGCTGTTTTCTGAAAAAACTTCACTTACGTCCACACCGCAATCATGTTCTTTTGAAAATAAATCGAAAGAACAGAGGGGCTTTTCCAACATCGGTAAACCTCTTTCTACAAGGAAGAAGCCTTTTTCCGAAAGAGCTCTTTCGGAAAACAGCGTGTATGGACGGGGAAGAGGGAGTTCTTTCGCAAGAAGAGGAAAAAGGAAAAAGCACAGGTGCCCTAGTGGCCATCTGCCCATCGTAATCACAGCTTACATGCGAGAGAGTGTCCATTCAGTGTGGACATTATCTTTCGAAAAACAGATTGCTTTTTCGATGCGTGTTGGCAGTGTGGATGCTGTCTTTCAGAAGATCTCTTCTGGAAAAGCTTCTTCGGAAAGAAGCCTGCAATCTAGATGTGGCCCTGAAGTGCTTGCTCTTTGTGATTCAGGCCTCCCGGCCGGCCACGATACAGTCCCCTTTCTGGGGTATCCAAGTCCTGCCGGACAAGCCACTTAAGACCATCTTCCATCCCCCTTCTGGGCCTTGTGCCACCTCCCAGTGGCTGCTGGGGGAACCGGGCCTGCAGCCGACTCCGGGTTCCGACCCAGGGACTAGCAATCCACATCTGCTCACTCTCGGTGCCTGTGCTGTTTCCCTGAGCTCTTTCCTACCCCACCTCTCTAGCTCTGGGTTTCCATGGGAACCTCCTCTGCTCCCCGTGGCTACTTCCCTGTGTTCTTTGGCCAGACCCCTTAGTCTGGGGCAGGATTCCAAGGTTTGCTCTCCCCTTGGACAGCTTCCTTTTCCCTGATCCCTTTCCCTCTGGAGAATGGCTGCACCCCCCAGCCCCACTCTCACTTCCTGGCTGTATAACGCTGTCCCGGTTCCTCCCTATCAGGCCTTATCAAGCCCTGGCTCCCCCACACTCCATCACCCCTTCCCAACAACTCCATCTCGCTGACGGGATAGCACGTGCAGAGCCGCGAGGCGTAACCGCCGCGGTTTGTCCCAGAGCCGCGTCGGGGAGAGCGCGTGTGAACTGCCACTATATTCCATCCTTCACGTGACGCGTCCATCGCCGCAGCTCCTGCCAGCTGAGCCCCGGCATGAACCTAGGTCTCCTGCTTTGCCACGTGCGGCTCTTGCCCAGCGTGTGGCATCCGTAGTGTTGCTCCGGGGCTGGGTGGATATTTTCATACCTTTATTCTTGCTGGGTACGTTGTCCAGTGTGTTGTCTACGGAGCCATTTGCAGCAAAGGTCATTGTGCCCAGCGGGGCATGTAATTCTGCCTCATTGTGTGTGTGTGTCTAATGTTATCACCTGTCTGCTTCACAGGGTGACCCCGTTACTATTTTTGGACCTCAAGGCTATAAAGGCAACAAAGGAGATCCGGTGAGTTGTAATCTTTATCTTTTAAAGCATGCCTGCCGCTCAGCATTCATTCTCTCGTCCGCAGTGTGGCTCTCTTAGGGTATGTCTACACTACCCCGCTAGTTCGAACTAGCAGGGTAATGTAGGCATACCGCACTTGCAAATGAAGCCCGGGATTTGAATTTCCCAGGCTTCATTTGCATAAGCAGGGAGCCGCCATTTTTAAAACCCCGCTGGTTCGAACCCCGTGCAGTGCGGGTACACGGGGCACGAACTAGGTAGTTCGAACTAGGAGAGTAGTGTAGACGGTATGTCTACACTACATGGCTCCGTCGATGGAGCCATGTAGATTTGTTTACTGGGCATAGGGAAATGAAGCGGCAATTTAAATAATCGCTGCTTCATTTAAATTTAAATGGCTGCCATGCTGTGCCAATCAGCTGTTTGTAGACTCCACGCATCAGTCTGGATGCTCCATGGTCGACATCAAAGGCATTTGTTGACCTCCCTGGTAAACCTCATCCCAGGTGGGAGAGGTCCAGGTTGGATATTAGGAAAAACTATTTCACTAGGAGGGTGGTGAAGCACTGGAATGGGTTACCTAGGGAAGTAGTGGAGTCTCCATCCCTAGAGGTGTTTAAGTCTCGGCTTGACAAAGCCCTGGCCGGGTTGATTTAGTTGGGATTGGTCCTGCCTAGAGCAGGGGGCTGGATTTGATGACCTTCTGAGGTCTCTTCCAGCTCTATGGTTTCATGATAAATGAAGCATTGATTATTTAAATCGCTGTTTCATTTTCCTATGCTGGGTAGCCTAATCTACATGCCTCTGGCGACAGAGGTGTGTAGTCTAGACATACCCTTAGAGTGCGTCTACACAGCAGTGTAAGCCCAGGATTCAAACTCATAGTCAACCCTAACCCCCCCTCGCATCTGCTGTCACATGCTAACCCAGGGCTCGCACCCAGGATCCACAGGCATAGAGGGGCCAAGCCCAAGTCACGCTGGGCACGAGGGTTCAAGCCCTATTGCTCTGTAGTATGGACGCAGCTGCACTGGACTCGTGCTTTGAGAGTCTGAGGTCTGACAATCCCCCGCTGGCTGACTTCCTTTGGCTGGTGGACAGTCGAAGTTTTCCCACCCTGCACCACAAGCAAATGGCTAGAATGGCCACAATCGGGGAATGTTAGGAAGTTTGGGATTCGGATGGCAGGACTCAGGTCCGCTGTGTAGATGCTGGAGCCCAGGTTGGGAGCCAGAGTTCAACAGTTCCTTCCCTGGGTTTACAACGGAGTGCAGACACCCAAACCCTCGGTTAACAAACCCAGCTCTGCTAGCACGAGTTCTACCAACCTGAATTTACATTGCAGTGAAACAGACCTTACTACGAGTGACAGGGCTTAATTAGTTATTTGAAATATTTTTACTCCACCTCTCTATTTAAAATAGTCAAGGCGGCGTACAGCATTTTCAAAACACAATAACTAAGTATATATATATAAAGTAAAATACAGGACCCCAAGGGGGGAAGGGACATAAAACTTGCTAACACACACACACACACACATTTTCAAAACAAAATAAATAAATATATATATAAAGTAAAATACAGGACCTCAAGGGGGGGGGGACATAAAACCTGCTATAAAACACACTCACATGCACGCGCACACACACACACACACACACAAAACCTGCTAAAACACACACACACACACACACACACAAAACCTGCTAAAACACACACACACACACACACACACAAAACCTGCTAAAACACACACACACACACACACACACAAAACCTGCTAAAACACACACACACACACACACACACAAAACCTGCTAAAACACACACACACACACACACACACAAGCCCGGGTAAAAGAGGTGGCCGTGGCCTGGCACCGAAACAGGAGAGAGAATTCCATGGCCGAGGGGCGAAGGCCGAGAAGGCCCCATCCCGCATAGATGTGAATCGTATCTCCGTAAGTGGAGGAACACGAAGCAGAGCCTCCCCAGCCGACCTCAGTCCCCGTGCGGGGTCGTATAGGAGGAGATGGTCCTTCAAATACCTCAGTCCCAACCCATTCAGGGCTCTGTAAGTCCTAACCAAGACCTTGAACTGTGCCCGGAAACATACTGGAAGCCAGTGCAGCTGCCGGAGCACCAGCTTAAGGCTACCAGGGTCACCAGATCTGCTTTGACCTCCTGGTTATCACAGGCCACCAAGCACCATCTACCCCGCCAAGCCAACAGCTAGAGTTACATGAAAGACAGCCCTCAGTCTTTGCCTTCTTGCCTGGTGTGTGCGGCTCTCCTGTGTAGTCCAGGCCCTGGTTTGGGTTTCTATGCTCCTGAGATGGAGCACTGGCTGAGCTGGGTCACAGATGAATGGACCAAGCCTGGTGATTATCTCAGAGGGCTGGCTGGCCAGCCAGGGGAGAGGAATAGCTCCAGGGACTGGGTCAAGGGGCTGGTTCCCACCCTGGGTGGATTGTGTACAGAGAAGCAGGGGAGGGCAGGGAGGGCATGGGCCTGGAATTCCGCAGATCTGGAGTGTGTTCCCAGGTGGGTCACGGAGTAACTTAGCCTCTCTTCCCTGGGTTCAGCCTTCTGGAAAACAGGGTTAATGACACTAGTTGCCTATGTAAAATACTTTGCGAGCAGGAGATGGTGGGCGGCTGCAAAGTCTGATTAATCAGCTACTTCTCTGTGGCTAACCAGGCTGTGGCCAAAGAATGTTTGGTTGCCTGTGCGAAACAAGGCGGGCGGTGTCCAGTCAACCCCCAAAGGGCATGGGACTGAGCAGCACTGGCCAGCCGCAAGGTGCGAGGCCCTGACCTAGAGAACACCCCTGCGAGTTGTGGTCCCTGAGCGCTCAATCACAGAGCTTCTGTCTGATCCTGCAGGGTGAACGGGGCCCGCCAGGTTTCGACGGAGACAAAGGCGAGAAAGGGGAGGATGGGCCTGCAGGAGAAAAGGTAGGAGCCTCCTTATTCATTGCGGGACTTCATTTGGGACCCACGGGGTTTATCGGTGCACTGCTGCCCTCTGTAGGATGCCGTGGGTAGTACTGCTCAGTGCACTCTACTGGATGGTGTACGGTTGCTTACTTAGGCCTGGTCTACACCACAGGGGAAGGGCGACCGAAGATACGCAACTCCCACTACATAAATTACGTAGCTAGAGCCAATTAATCTGAAATCCTAGAATCCTAGAACTAGAAGGGACCTCGGAAGGTCATTGAGTCCAGTCCCCTGCCCTCCCGGCAGAAGCAAGCACCATCTAGACCATCCCTGTCAGGTGTCAGTCCAATCTGCTCTTAAATATCTCCAGCGATGGAGATTCCACAACCTCCCTGGGCAATTTATTCCCGTGTTTCACCACTCTTAACAGGTAGGAAATTTTTCCTAATGTCCAACCTAAATCTCCCTTGCTGCAGTTTAAGCCCATTGCTTCCTCGTCCACACAGCGGGAGGTCGACGGGAGCAAATGCTTCTGTTGACTTCCCTCACTCCTCACGAGGAGTAGGAGTACTGGTGCCGATGGGGGCATCCTTTGAGTTTGATCCAGCGGGTCTATACAACACTCGCTAAATCAAACCCCAGAAGATCAGCCGCAGCAGCATGGATCTTCCCTGGAGTGTAGACGTGCTCTTAGTCTTGGTCTACACAAGAGTTAGGTCAACACAAGGCAGCCTTCATTGAGCTAAATTAAAATTTCACTCTGGCCAAGATAACTCAACCACTACACTATCTTATGGCACCTTAAAGACTCACAGATTTATTTGGGCCCAAGCTCTCATGGTTAAAACCCACTTTATCCGATGTTTGTGCAGCTGCAGAGTAACACAGCTGCCACTCTGAGAAGTCACACTATCTTAATAACACCGCCTCCACGAGAGGCAGAAAGTCAGGGTCAAGATACTTAGGTGGAGGCAACATCAGAATAAGCACTGTGTTGCCGCCTTCAACTGTGGCTGGATTTCAGAAACTGTCGCACAGTGTCCCGCACTGATAGTTCAATCTCCTGGTAAGGAGACACGCCGCTGACACAGAGCCAAGTGTAGACACGCACAAGCGGTGTCATTACTGCAGCGGCTGCATGCCGATGTAAATTAGGTCAACGTCATTTGGTAGCGTAGACGTGGCCTTAAGCATATGTGTCTGGAAATGAAGATTGAGCCCTTAGCTGCAAACACACACAACACAGGGAATTATCTAACCACTTAATTCTGTGCATGTAATTGCAACAAATCTGTGGCCACCTCTGACTTCACTTGTGCCGGGCTGCCACTTGGAACTGCCTGCAGGCTGCGGGTGTAGAAATCCTCCAGAAAAGCATAACCTCGCACCAGCTGCGCAAAGGAGATTCTCCCTTAGGATCCAACAGACAGTTGAACAGTTCGGATTCTGTCCACCAGAAGGCAGCAGTGTGCGTGCACTCTAGCCAGTCGATTACGGTATCATCACAGGAAGTGATGTAATTTCCCCTTCCTCTGAGAACTGCTAAAGCTTCCTTAAAAAGGGGAATTGGTTTTGCTCTGTGTGGACATGGCTGGTCCCGTGGCATTTTTTGGAAGGGAGGGGTTGGTTTTTCGGTTCTTCCCTGTACGCAGCTGTTATGCCATGTGCTCTACGTTGGTTTCTATCACCTATGCACATGTACAGTGCTTTAAGATCCTTAAAGGTGCTATATAAAGGCAGGGTGCTATTATAATTCTCTGCCATTTCCTCCGTTGGCTGCCCGTTCAGGAGCAATGGCTGCCAGCAAGGTATTTGATGCAGCTTCTAAAAAGGAGGCTGCCGCCGATCCTGTAGAATATTCCTCTTACGAAGTCAATTCCCTGCTTCACTAGGCAGAATTTCCAGGCGCTGAGACCTGTACAAAGTGGCCCGTGTTAGTGAAACATCTTGCTCCGTGCTTCTAAAGTATGGCACAGGATGAGACTGAGAACCCAGCAGTGGGGGCTTGGGCGGTTTGGGATGGGCGGTGAAGGTGTTGCTAGATGAATCTTCTTTCTCACAACCTGATCCACAGTGTGAAAATACTGGAAATCGCCTTGGGGAGAAGTCCTGGGCCAGCTGAGTGGGGAGGAGGCCCGGTCTACGGTCCCAAATAAAGGCGTTGCGGGCCAGGTGGCAAAGAATGACTTTAAGGGGAAATGCAATTTCTGAATCAACAAGCCTGAAAATCCTCTCGGTTGGTGTGTTCGATTGCAGGGGGTCAAAGGCGAGGCAGGTGCAAAAGGAGCCATGGGGCTGTTTGGTGCCAGAGGACCAGTGGGGCAGAAGGTTAGTACAATGGCCCGAACGCACACTGAGAAACCTACAGGGTCATCACCCTCATCGCTGGTCACTCCACAACTGCAACCCAGCCCTGGTTTGTCACTTATCTCAAATAGTCCCTAGGGGCGGGGGAGGCAGGATGTTGACAAGGGGGCACTGCCAGTCCAGCAATGTGCAGGTGCTTGTCAGGATTTTCCACAGTCACATTTGGGGACATTCCCCAACTCCCCCTTTGGCCAGACTGTCACCAGGTTTCCCACCTCCATATCTCCCTTCATGCAGTGCACGCAGGAGCAGCCCGAGGTGGGCTGCAGCAGCTGGCACCCAGGCGGAATGCGCGATTGGCGCCCCCACCTGCACGGCCGTCAATGGGGTGACGTCATCATCGGGCACCCTGTGACATCATCATCGGGCGCCCTGTGACATCATCGGGCGCCATTGAAGGCGGCGCCCTAGGAAACGTCCGAGTCGGCTTATAGTCACGGGCCACCCCTGAGTGCCAGTAGCTTTGTTCGAGGGCAGTGCCTGGAGGGAGTTGTTTTGAAGGACCCAGGTTGCCCTGCCTTTCCCGCCATTTTGGTTCTTCTGTAGCCTTCCCCCGTGCTCTTTTGGGGGGAAGGGTTTTTCAGAGGCAAAACTCTTTCTCAACTTCAGCCCCTTGGATGGTGGAACACCAGCCTGCAGAGTGGGTGTGTCTGATTACACACCTGGTTCGGGGCTCTCTTTTTGACTGAAGAGAACCACCGCCCTGGAGCTGGGGGGGTGCTGCATTGCCCCCAAGGCAGAGTGAGGACAGTGCGTGAGCAGGCCTCCAAGTTCCTGTGACGAGCCGCCAGGATTGGTTGAGGTCAACTGTCAGTTTTCTGCATCTGGCTTGAGCGCGGCCAAGATGAAGGCCCCGTGCATGGCAGTAGAGTAACGGGGAGTCGCTTGGAGTGTTTGGGGGTCACGCGGCTGTTTCTGGCGTCCGCAGCTCTTGGAGTTCCCTTTCCTTGCCCGTTTCTTGAAGTGCCCTTAGCATGTCGATGTTCAGTGAAACGTGCCCCCTAGGGACATGGGCTGTTTGTTGTGCTCAAGGATCGTACCATTCCACAGGTAGCTGGGCCTGACGGGGCTTCCGGTGCAAGGCGCACGCTTGCGTCTTGCTAGGGTTGGCAGTCAGGGACCATGCACTGTAGGGTTCTCCAGGCAGGGCCAGGAAGCAGGAGTGTCCTGAGCCTGGGGATTGTGCTGACTCCTTTTGTTGCCTGGTCACTCAAACTCTCCGGGCCCCCTTGCTCTAAGGCTCCTAGTGGTGTCAAGGGGCCTTAAAGACAGCAGACTTCACCCCCTCCTCCACAACTTCCTGCGAAATGCCTCAAAGTAAGCAAGACGCAGCAGGAAAGGTCTATGCAGGATCCTGACTCCCCCTCCTAGGTACCTGGGCAGCTTGGATGCACGTTGAAGCAATCTTGAGGCTGCTCTAACTTACCCCAGGTTTGGCCTTGTCCCCACAGCCAGGCCCAAAATGCCAGGAGGAGCAAAGGTTCCTGCCCTGGGTGCCTCTCAGCTGGCATAGTGAATCAGGCCCCTAGCGTCCCTTTATCGCCTGGAGGAAAGGCTACCTCGTCTTCTCACTGGGGTGCTGGGTGCCCTGGATGAGGTTCCTAATGCATTCTGAGGATGCATGGTGCCATTAGCGGAGCTGCAGAAAAAGAAGGGTTTGGGGCGAAGTCCACAGAACATCAGCTTGCAGATGGAATGAGGTCAGCTAGCCCCGTTGTGTTTCAGATTATAGATGAAATCCACCTGACAGCAGACCATTTATCGTCCCCGGCACATTTTGCGAGAGGTCACAGTGTTACTTCCATTTCCGCACCAAATTACTCCCTGAAATTCCCCCTGCAGTTTCTTCAATCAGATGCTTTATTCCTCATTTCCCAGCCTAAATTGTTTGCGTGACGCATGGCTGGGAGGCTGTTGGACACCTGCCACATCCACCCCAGAGGTGGTCGCGCTAGTGTGCTAAGCGATGCCTGTATTCAGACAGCTAACAAAGTGCTTTGGGCTGCTTCGAAAGCCACCATGAGGATGCTGCTGGTTTTGGAGGGGAATCCTTATTCGGGCACGTCTCCACTAGGAAATGGTTTCAAAATAACTAAATTTGAAATAATACCTCCAGAAATAACAAAATCAAAATGTTCTGGACTTCCAACACTCCAGTTATCTTAAAAAGTGGGCCGTGCCCACGAAAGCTCATGATGCCAACTACATATTTTGTTTTAAAGTGCTACTAGACTAGTGTTTTTTAAGTTTTTCCTGTTGCAGACAAACTCGGCTACCTCTCTGAAACTTTTAAAAATCAAAATAGTACATCCCCATTATGGGAGAGCCTCGAAATGAGTCTGAGGCAGGCTCTGTTATTGTGGATGCGCTACCTCGACTTAGGCTTTGCAAATGAAGCACTGATTAGCATTTTGTCATGCTTCATTTGCATAATTTATTCACACCGTTTTTCTGCAAGGGGTTTTTACGCAAAAAGGAAATGTCCACACTGCTTGTTTTTGCGCAACAAAAGTGACTCGAATAGATTATGCAAATGAAGCACAACAAAATGCTAATCAGCACTTCATTTGCATACTTTCTACCATCAAAAACTGGCAGTGTAGACAAAGCCTTAGCGCCCCAGGAAGCGCTGGGGAGTAATTACTTTGAATGTCTCTGGGGAGTTGTTTCGAAATAGCGGCAGCAGAGCGTGCACAATCACCGCTATTTCGAAATAGGTGCTATTCCCTGAGGAAAGCAGGAGCACAGATTTCAAAATAAGCCGCCTGTTATTTCGAAATAACAGGCTTGGTCGTGTGGACGCTCTGCTTATTATTTTGAAATGAGGGATTATTTAGAAATAACAGGCTTAGGGATAAAGAAATGCCAGGGATTGTTTGCACAGTGTATAGCTGACCAAGCTGATTTTCCTGTGTGTTTAACTGAGTGTCCCTTCTCTCCCAGGGAGAACCCGGAGAACCTGGCCTGCCTGGATTTGCTGTGAGTTGTGATAGCTTTTCATGTTAGGAGCACTGGGATCGTGTCCGTTCGGCCTAATAGCCTCATGCTGTACACTGCTGATCAGAGCACCCTGAAATCTATCGTTCTCATCATGCCATTAGCAGCCTCTTGAAAGAGGATCAGGAATGAGGGAGAAGTGCTAACGTTGCCCGGTGTTTAGCACTTTGACACCTGGGATCATAGTATATGCAGGACCCATGGCACATCCCTCCTTTACGTGGAGATCCATGAATAGCCCCCTCCTGGCACATCATGTTCTTCTGCAAGGGCTCGGGTGGCTTTGATGTGCCGTGTGTCTCTCTCTGACTCACTCACAGCTAAGGCCGCATGTTTCAAAGGCGGAAGGTGCCTCAAGGAAGGAAATAATTTAGGTGAAACTTTCTTGAACGCTTGCATGAAAAGTGAGATCTGAAGAGCAGGAGGGCGGGCGTGTGGATCGTTGCCATCAGAGATGCAGTTTAATTAGGGTGTTACATTTTGCATCAAAGAACACTTATAATGTGCATTCCCCTTATTGCACTACACCAGCATTTCAGGGTGACTCTATAGGCAGGGCTGAAGCAAATACGTGTTCAAAATGCCATTTTGTCTGTCTAGCTATAGGCTTATCTGTGTCATCATGGTTAACCCTTTGAATATCGCCATCCCCAGGAATTCTGAAAAGGATGTAATGTGTGTTGTCATGAACTGGCTATTTGAAATTTGCACCAGTGCCCTCTGCTGAGTGGAAGGAGAACTACTCGGCTCTGTTCATAGACCCCATCCTGCAGACTAGAAGCTGGCTGAACTATTTCAACCACACAAAATAATTCATCGTAAACAGGCGTTTTGACTGACCTGAAATTTTTTGCGAAAGCATTTTCTTTTCTTTGAAATGTCCCATTTTTCAGCAAAAACTCACAATGAAAACGTTCTATTCAAAATGTTCTAAAGACTTTGAGGGGTGGTTGTTTTGTTCATTTTGTTTCAGTGGGGGAAAATCCCACTTCTGTTTTCCATCCTTTACTTTCCCCCCACTTGTTTACAGGGGGAAAAGTTTAGTGACAGAAAGTAGCTGTTTTCCCACCAAGTGAAAAGACATTTTTTTCTTTTCTTTTTCTCTTTTTTTTTTCATAAAAAAACTAAAAATGCAATGAAACACTTGGAGCAAAACAAGACACTTTAGAGACTTTAAGACATGTTCCTGAAATAATGCTCACCTGTTTTCGAACAGTTCTACTGTGTGAAGGTGTTTTCCCTTAGCTCAGATGGTAGGGGCTGATGCTCGAGACTGAAAGGATACAAAATCTATCCCCGTTGATCCGATGAAATTCCTCATACCCATGCTATGTTGCCTGGCAACTATCATGGAACTTGTAGGAAGCCATGGATTTGGTACTATATACATGATGTGTATGATCCAATGCTTTAACTCCTCATCAAAGCATAACAAAGCCGCTGATTCAATAAAACCTACAGCATGTGCTTAGCATTAAGCATATGCAGAGTTCCACTAAGATTAGTTCAGGCGCATGCTTAAGTGCTTTCCTGAACAGGTGCAAAAATAGTAATATGCCCTGGGCAGTACACAATACAGCTGTGATTCCCCTTTTTTGGAAATCTCAGCGGGTCTCTAGCACTAAATGGCAGCTTTCCATTTAGGCACACTATAGGGAGTCCCTTCGTATTATTCACACTTCCACAGACCACAACTCGCTGGGCTAAAACGAACGGAGTCATTCCGTAGCTCACCTGGTGAATGGCCGCGAAACGAACGGAGTCATTCCGTAGCTCACCTGCGGCTTGACCCTGGTGAATGGCTGCAGTGGTTATGCTGGAAAGCACTGAGAACTTGAGTCATTTTGTCTCTCAAATTGCATCCACACCAGCGCGCCGTCCATTCAATGTGACACTTTGGATGTCACTGGGTTGTGTGTCACGTGGTGTTCCCAACATTGTACCAGACACATAACCGCTGCAGATCGGGGTCTTGTAAACATTCCTGGTTCAGAAACACTGGCTCATCACCCTCATTAGAGTGCATTAATGAGGGCTGTTTCCTGCAATAGGAAAAGTACCTGCATGGTCATTGGAGTTGGGCTGGGACAGCAAGAATGAGTTTTCATTTGGCATGTCCATGCTAGAGCACAGCTGCATTTTATCAGCAGCACCAAAATTCAGGGCGGAAGAGAGAGAGAACACACCAGGACCTTTTTGCCCATGGCGGAGTGTTCCTGAGAGATGGGTCTTGGTGATGAGTGTGACATGTACGTGCTAGGGGGAAAAGTGCTGAACTGAACTAGGGAAGTAAGTGACTAGTAGACTATCCGAGAAGCAAAAGCTAGTCGCTGGGCTAGTCACCCCCTCTCCCTCCTCACTGCCTTTGATGGGGAGGGATAGCTTAGTGGTTTGAGTATTGCCCTGCTAAACCCAGGGTTGTGAGTTCAATCCTTTTGGAGGCCATTTAGGTATTGGGGCAAAAATTTGTCAGGGATGGTACTTGGTCCTGCTGCAAAGGCAGGGGACTGGACTTGATGACCTTTCAAGGTCCCTTCCAGTTCTAGGAGATAGGCAATCTCCATTAATTTAATTTAATCCATTTAAAAGGCAGAGCCGCAGCGGGATTAGGTCCTGGGCAGAGGCTAAAACTGGAAGGGACCTCGAGAGATCACGTCCTGTCCCCTGCCCTCACGGCAGGACCAAGCACAGCCTGAAGGCAGGAGACTGGACGTGATGATCTCTTGAGGTCCCTTATCGACTGGTCGACGGAAAATCCATCGACTAGTTGATTAAACTAATTATAACCTCCCTAAGGTGGACAGGGGATTCCAGACTGCACATGAGCCGCTGCCAGGCAGATGCTAAGTGACTGTGGGTTAGTATCCGGAGTGGGACCCCTACGTGCCTTGTTTGCACCAGGAGGAGCGTGGCTGGACTTGCATCTCCTCGGATGCACTAATTCTCTCCTGCTCTTTTTCTTACCCTGTGGATAAGGGAGCAGGTGCACTGGGAGCCACTGACATTGGCTCCATCAGTGCACGAGGCAGAACAGAGACAGTCGGGTTTGTTGCCCCGGCATGTGTATCAAACGAGGGGCGCTGTTCTGCCAGAGGGGTGCCTTCCTCTGGCTGGGCCTGGGGGACGTGAGCGCTGGTGGGCGGTGTGACGTAGTGGGGGTACTTGCTGGGCTGTGGTGACCCCTGCTGTCTGGAGCAAGACCCAGCAGGGAAAACCTCACTATGCAAAGGTAGTGCCAAACTTGTTGAACCAGTGGCCAGACACCCCCCATGGAGAGGAACAAAGGAAGGTGGAATGCTGCCCTGGCTGGGGGGCAGGGCTGGAAAGGAATTTAGTTAGTTCCTCGCTGGAAGGCAGGGTATAAGGAGCTGGGGAGGGGGCTGGGACTCCCCTATCTCAAAGGGGGGGCACTGAGGCCTCTTAGCCCCAGTTCCTGTAACCAGATTACATCTGTGCTGTGCTGTATCCTGGAGAGGCAAAACCCTTCCTCAATTCCACTGGCTGGTGCAGTCTGTTTGTGCCATTTCGGGGTGCAGGAGACGGGGGACCCCAACGCGCCGTCACACTGGGAGATGGACCATACAGCCTAGAATGTATTTTCTGAGAAGCATCATGGTCTAGAAAGCAGAGAACATAGGAACGGCCACATTGGGTCAGACCAAAGGTCCATCCAGCCCAGTATCCTGTCTGCCGATAGTGGCCAATGCCAGGTGTCCCAGAGGGAGTGAACAGAAACAGGGAATCATCAAGTGATCCCTCTTGTCCCCCTTCCCAGCTTCAGGCCAACAGAGGCTGGGGACTGGTAGTCAAGAAACCTGAGACACATACCTAGCTCTACCATCACCCAGTGAGTGACCCAGACTGCAGAGAACAGGGCAGGGGTGGACTCCCGCTGGGTTTATTCATTTAACCTTGAAACTTGAATGTAAGACTTGCCACGCCATGGCAGGTTATCCCAATCTGCCTACAGCTGCGTTCTTTCCTTTTCTTTTGAAGTGTCTGGTTCTGGCTTCTCTTGAAAGCAATATGCTGGACTAGATGGCAGCTGGCTCCAAACCCTGACAGCAGTTCCTAAATTCTAGATCCCTATCTAGAGCGGAACACTGGAAGATGCATTTGTTTGTAATGAAGACAATAAATACTTATTCTGGAGGAACAAAGAGATGGAAAACTCCTATTCATAACACAGCATACACAACAGGTGCTGAAGAACGGCCGATGGAGAAATAGCTATAAAAATTCTTCATTCAAAATACAGTGGTAATGTTGCCATGAGTACAAAGGCATTTGGGGTTTAGTCAACTGCTCACCTGTCCAGTGTTCGTGATTCAGGGAAATGAAATGTTTTTTTCTGTGCTGTATTGTCCTCCAGGAGCTTTGGTTGGTAGGACACATTTACCACACAGTTCAGAGTTCCACTCTATTTTTATTTTTGCTTTTCTGTTGTTGCCCTTGCATTTGCTCCTTCAAGTCTCCCAAGCTTTTAGAAACATTGCAAAAAGTATATGCTACATTTTCTCTCCATGACAGCTGCCCTCATCTTTGGGCATTCTACCATGTGACAGGGACAAAGTTTGTGTGTTTATGCACAAACACACACAAAAACTTATTTCACACTCTCAGGGTACATCTACACAACAACATTATTTCGAAAATAGTCCACGTCTACACAGCAGGCAGGTATTTCAAAATAATGTCAAAATACTGTCAAGCTAGAGGACTTCTTACTCTGGCTCCTGTAACCCTCAGGCTACATCTACACTGCGGGCTTCATGCACAAGAACTGTTTTGCACAAGAGTTCTTGCACAAAAGGTCTTGTGCAAGAGCGTGTCTACACTGGCATGTGCTTTTGCGCAAGAGCGTCCATGGCAGTGTGGACGCTCTCATGCGCGAGACAGCTCTGATGGCCATTTTAGCCATTTGAGCTCTTGCACAAGAGGGCTTATTCCTCGTAGGGAGAGGAATAACTCTTGTGCAAAGA